GCACGAATACGGACAAGTGCGGTTTTAGGCTCGAGATAGGATGGTTTTGGGAAATTGGTGTTCAGATGTAGGTTCTCCAATGCATCTGTTGAGCGCCAGCTGGTTGATTTTGCATTGTGGATTTGCCATGCTGATGGCATCGTGGGTTTTGATGAACGAAGGAAAAGCCAATCAATGTAAGGTAGGCGTCTAGTCAGCTTACGAAGTTTTGAATTTTTACGAGGCCGCGGTGCATGTTCTTGGAGAGCATACGCTGAGGGGCATACATATGACGAGACCCTGAAATCGCATTTATAATGCTAGATTACATAAATTTTCCACCTTCCAACTAGAAACGTTCTTCCTGCCTACATGTGCTCAGGCTGCTTTGAAATAGAGCGGCATTTCTTCAGAGCACGCATGATGGCGTGACAGAGGGAGGCAAGATGGTATTGAGATTGGCACGTGGAAGGAAGACATGTTAGGTAACATTAGGTATCGATATACATCGCCTCCTTTGATTGGCTGCAATCAATTTCTCGTGCTGATCTTTTCTTCCTCCCATACCAAATCGATGAATCGTCCATGGCAGTATGCTTAAGGATGTCTAAAGGCATTCCTAAGCATGATCGCAGGCAGGACTTGTGCCGTGATATTGTTCGCATCGACGCTCTGGGAGACGAACCCATAGATTTTGCAGCTCAAATTCGTCACAAAATGCCTCGGGAGTGCGGTGATGGTGTTTCTGCTTCTGTTTTTGGCATTGGGGTAAACGGGGGAGAATGCTGGCCACTGATGCAAATCGTGCTGGCACCGTACATTATCGGACGGTTGTCTACATGGTATGGAGGAATAGGAACTTGAAGGAACGTATACGTAGGGTTGCAGCTAGGCTGAGTGAGGTGAGGTCTGGGACATCGTCGAGAGCACTTGAAATCTCAGCTTTGGCATTGTATTGAAGCGTAGGCAATGCATAATGAGCCACGAAGATGAAGCCAATCAGCGATGTGAGGATTCTGGACACAGCCTGTGTACCGCTCAATCAAAGATGCTTCTTGTAAATTCCCATTGTGCCCTCTGCCCTTGTTCGAGATTCTTCGGGTACCTATTTCCAGTATGTTCACAAATAGGCTCCTTCTGAAACGTAAAATCGCAATAACGAGACCGTCTCTAGTCAGGCGGTATGGAGTAGGGCGGTGCTAATTACACCACTACGGGCTACAAAAAATCGCTTCTGCCAAGAACTATGTTCTTGTGCACAGCCGGGTTCTAATCTTTGCAGCGCAATCACAACCAGAACAGGAGATTCGGTGTGACTCGCTCGACTATTCAAACGGGAATTCAAAGTCTCGGGCTGTCGGCAAACAAAACCCCTGAGCCAAACAGGGCAGTTCATTTCTTGCCCTCATGTAGGGGTTGTGGTTGGTCCTTACGCGAGGATCCCCGTACCCGCACGGCCCCTCATCATACCCGCGCCCCTAAAGCATTTCTCCCAAAGCAGAAATTAAGACTTCGCCCCTGAGACCCTTTAGAGACATCCCTTGAGCCGTAAACAGACATCTCACCAATCGAACGCGTCCGAAATTCTCGGATATGACGCCGTCTCTCCTTGAATTTCCCTTCAGCACCTGGTTAACGCTATGGCGCAACGTTCAGCTAGTCACGATCTGGTCTGGCCGCGGTTCAGGCGTTTCTATAACGTCTTCATGCTTCGTCCCTCCTTCTTTTCGCAACCTCCATTCGCTCTTTCTCCGCTCTGTTACGGACGACACTCTTTTGTTTCTACACCAATTGATTTTCATATACTTTCTAATCACTGTCCTCACACTCGTTTCTCCTTATTAATAGCAGTCCATCACTATGCATCTCTCAGCTCTCTTACTTCTACCACTGCCGCTCGCTTTGGGCGAGCAGCTTGTCATTCCATTCGTGCAACAAGCAGTTGCGAAGGAGCTGGCTAGCTTCAGCCAGTACACTGCCTACAATGGCCCGACTGGAACTGCCAAAGCTGCACTTGCAGCTGCAACTCCAGCCGCAGCACCCAGCGCGAAGGTCAACGCTGTAGCAGCAGCTGCGTACCCTTACTGGTATGAAACGATTACCCACCAAGGCAAGGCAGCCTTCAACTCGAATACCGGCTACACAATCTTCCGCAATGTGAAATCATATGGAGCCAAAGGGTGAGCCGAACCAGCTATCTAACCTGATGCTTGCTGATATTCCTCAGTGATGGTGTCACGGACGATACTGCAGCTATCCAGAAAGCTATCAGCGATGGCAATCGATGCGCCCCGGGCTCATGCCAATCTACCACAACTACGCCTGCTGTCGTCTATTTTCCTGCCGGGACATACATCATCTCCTCCTCCATTCTCGACTACTATTACACGCAACTAATTGGCAACCCTAATGCCATGCCCGTGCTGAAGGCGACTGCTGGCTTCACAGGCCTGGGTGTGATTGACGGAGACCAATATGAGCCTGGAAATGCTGCTGGAGTTCTGAGCTACGGAGGTAAAAGCTGGCTTCATATAATATTTGGGCTTGCATGCTGATGGAGGTATAGCGACCAATATTTTCTGGCGACAGATCAGAAATTTCGTCATCGATTTGACCGCCATTCCAGCTAGTTCGTCGGCTACAGGGATACATTGGCCTACGGCTCAGGCAACGAGCTTGCAGAATATTGTGTTTCAAATGTCGAGTAGTACAGGCACAAAGCATCAGGGCGTCTTTATCGAAAGCGGCTCTGGTGGATTCATGAATGATCTCGTCTTCTACGGAGGCCTCAATGGTGTTGTTTTTGGCAATCAGCAGTTCACTGTCCGGTACGAGTCATGATGGTGACCTTGCCAGAAGAGATGCTAACGTCGTGAGCAGCAATCTCACATTCCACAACTCGGTGACCGCCATCAGCCAGGTCTGGAACTGGGGCTGGACATACAAATCTCTCAGCATCAACAACTGCAAGGTCGGCATCGATATGACCAACGGTAATGCCAACCCTCTAACCGTAGGCTCTGTGACCTTGCTTGACAGCAGCTTCACCGGCACAGGCGTTGCGGTCCTCACAGACCGCATTGGCGGGTCGTCCAAGCCCGCAACAGCAGACAGTCTTGTAATCGAGAATGTCGTTCTCTCGAACACACCTGTTGCCGTCAAGTTAGGTACAACAGGTGCAACTCTGCTGGCCGGCGGGACGCTAACAATCGGCGCTTGGGGTTCTGGTAACGCGTATAGCCCTACTGGACCCACGACGACCCAAGGTTCATTCACTGCTCCTACGCGCCCAGCTTCTTTGCTCGTGGGCACGAAATACTATGAGAGATCTAAGCCGCAATACAATAACCTACCGGTCACCTCATTCAGGAGTGTGCGAACTGGTGGCGCGAAAGGTGACGGTACAACAGATGACACTACGGCCTTGCAAAATACCATCACAGCCGCAGCAGCTGCCGGACAGGTCGTCTTTGTGGACGCTGGTACCTATAAAGTAACCAAGACAATCTTTATTCCTAAAGGCTCTAAGATTGTTGGGGAAGCCTACTCCGTCATCATGTCGAGTGGCGCTTTCTTCTCCAACATCAACTCCCCGCAAGCGGTGGTCCAAGTTGGCAACGCAGGCGATGCGGGCATAGTCGAATGGAGCGATATGATCGTGTCTACGCAGGGTGCACAAGCTGGCGCTATCCTCATCAAGTGGAATCTGGCCTCTACATCTGCCTCCCCGTCAGGGATGTGGGATGTACACAACCGTATCGGTGGCTTCGCTGGATCGAACCTCCAAAAGGCTAATTGCCCTGCTTCAGCCGGGTCGACGGCTATTAATGCTAATTGCGAAGCGGCTTACATGTCAATGCACATTACCAAGACCGCTGCTGCGCTGTACATGGAAAATGTCTGGCTCTGGACCGCGGACCACGACGTTGAAGATCCCAATCTCACCCAGATCACAATTTACACGGGCCGCGGGTTGTACATCGAGAGTACGGCTGGCACTTTCTGGCTCGTTGGAACGGCCGTCGAGCACCATGCCCGTTACCAGTACCAGCTCCAGAGCACGAAGAACATTTTTATGGGCCAGATCCAGACGGAGACGGCGTACTATCAGCCGAACCCGATAGCTAACCAACCGTACCCCATCAATGCGACGCTTAATGATCCGAATTTCAACACCTACTGTCCGGCTGGGAGCCCGGCTACTTGCAGTATGGGGTTTGGTCTGAGGGTCACGGCATCGACTGACATTCACGTTTATGGCGCGGGGTTGTACTCGTTTTTCAACGATTACAGCACAAGCTGCTCAGTGCAGAACGCGAATCCGCAATGTCAGAGCAACATCTTTACATACGACAGTGCTGCGACGACGAAGCTTTATGTGTATAACCTGAATACGGTTGGGTCAACTGCTATGATCACCAAGGATGCGGGCAAGCTGGCGACGAATATTTATAATTACAATGTCTTTCCGAGTACGATATACTTCTTCAAGAGTGCCTGATGAGGGGAAAAGAGGAGGAAGCGTAGGTTGTATCAAGATTGTTTGGAACATGCGTCGATGGCCTCGATGGATGTACACAGCTGATTGCTACATGGCGCTAGCCGGGGTGGAGGTTTTGTCATTATTTTGTTTTCTGGTTATCATAATGGGCTTAATACTTCGGCTGGCTGAAGAGCAACATTAATATCAGACGTTCTCTCCGGCACTAGGATTGAGCTCTCACGGGTCATAGCAGTGATCATCCTGGGCTTTTTAGGTGTGCATACCCTTGGTAGCAAAATCAAGGTAATGAGATCTGTGAGGCTTCAAATTTGCTCCTGTTATTCGTTGACTACCTGGCTGCTGGTAGCAGAAGATAAGAACTCCGTGAGCTATGATGTGGCAATCTCTTGCCTGGGGTGAAACTGCACTGTACCCTTCGGGATTCACTCGTATTCGTCACTTCCGAAAAGATAAATTCTCGGGTACCTACTTCACTTCCAATACATTCACAAATAGGCCCATTTATGAATGAAGAGTTGAACCGCTGGCGCAATGGTAGCGCATCTGATTCCGGATAGCTGACTCTGAATCTCCAGAAGGTCCCGTGCGAGTCGGGTGTGGTTCCTTCATTTTTTAAAGTTCACAGCCCCTTTTTGGCTCATGTTTGACTCTCTTGACCCAGGGTAGGTATTCATTTTTTTGTTCAGTTGGCGGGTGGTTGCATCTTTACTCTCCGAGGCATTGGGTTGTCCCACTACACCTCCACTCAATGTGGCCATATAGATGGTATTAAGGCGAAGATGGTAGTGTTAGGCGGGTTACTGGCGCAATAGTAGCATACTTGTCTTCTAATCAAGTGGTGTGTTGTGACTCATACCCAGGTGGTGTAACGTGCTCAAATACTGATCTGACCTTGGTAGGATGTCGGTTCGAGTCCGACGTGACCCTTCACAAACACTTCTATCCTTTTTGGGGGGTGTTTTTGTCCTCTCTTAAGACGTTGATTGTGTAGATATTTCTTGGATCCTGACTCCCTGTCTGTAAGACTGCGCACTCCATTACGGCCGTATGTTTTCACATGCCATGCCGTGCAAGAGCGGCAAATGACCAAAGCATGGACGTTGCAGAGCGCTGAGAGGCCGAATACTGGCTCAAATGTAGTGTGCTGGATGTAGCCCTTCACTCAACCACCGTCCCCTTCCACACTTCCCAACTCGCTCGTAGCTCGTATTGCACCAACACCCAGGCTTCGCCCCCCGCCCCCCGGCTCAAGTCATCCCTTCCCTCCCCCCTCCATCCCCGCCATCTTCTCCAACGCCTCATCATCAACCCTCATCCCCACCCACTCACTCATCATCTTCGCCCCCATCCCCTCATAAAACTTAATACTAGGCCCATTCCACTTCAACACGCTCCACTCCAACCTCTCGCCCCCAATCGCCTTCGTCTCCCTCGCTAGCCTCTTCAACAGCGCTATCCCGTACCCTCTCCCCCTATACTCTGGCCGCACGAATAAATCTTCGAGGTAAATGCCTGGGGCGCCGCGCCAGGTGGAGTAGTTTGTGAAGTAAAGTGCCATGCCTGCGCATTTGGGGGCGGGGGTCTCGGAGGCGGCGTAGATGAGGAGGGTTTTTGCATAGCCGGTTGTGGGGGAGGAGGGGAAGGAGAGAGTTTTTAGGAGGGTAGATTCCGTCGCGAGGACGGAGGAGGTGGCGTGTTCGTAGGCAGCGAGTTCGTGGATTAGGGAGAGGATTGTTGGGACGTCTGGAGGGTGTTAGCTGGGTTTGTGGAAAGGATGGAGTGGGGAGGTGGTGGAGGACCTTCTTCTGTTGCGAAGCGGATTGTAGGTTCGTTGGTAGTAGGTTGGGAAGCCATTGCTTCTTATGTTGAACTTTCCCAGAATATTAAAGACTCTGAGCAGCAGTAGTAGAGTCGACGATGTCAATTGAAAGATTGTAGCTGCCTTCTGTATGGAGGCGTTTTGCTCGAAAGCTGCGTGCCGGTTGTTGCCAAGAGCGGAAAAGTTCCGCCTGGAGGGAGGGGTATACAGGCCATTAGTATATCCTCATTAATTGCATGGGCGCTTGCCACTAGCGCCCCGCTATTTTACAAGTACTTATTTAGTACCTTACCAAAAGAGCTCAGTATCAAAGATAATATCTTATCAAAATATCTCAGTACTGAAGTAGTACTTAACTAGTATTTAAGCTGTACTAAATTAAAACTAAGCTTAAAGTATTCTAATAACGTATTCAAATCCAACCCTAAACACCTAACCTCTAACCCTGACTCTAACTAATACCTCCGGCGGCCCCCCAAAATAAGATAGGGGCGAGGTAATTTTACTAAGATTTGCCTAGGTGCTAGCGATTAGCGCCTATGGAGTATAGCATGGTGGTATACCAATGAGGGTCATAGAACATACCAATGGCCTGTAGACTGGGGAAGAGCGTTCACTTCTCATGGCCCTCGATGGCCCAAAACCCTAACAACATGCGCTTTTTCGTTGTTGTGTCCACTCCTTTAAGTGGTGTAGGATTAGGGGTGGGAAAAAATCGATTTTAATCACTACCCCTTACCTATATTTTCTACACCTATACATACATATTGTCGCTGTCGCCTGTACGCATCGCCGCCGTCGCTGTATGAACTCTACTGCCCTATATTACTGCCACTGACACCTGCTTAGATCTCCCATATTTACATACCTGCCGATCTACCTACCTCCCTTCCTGCCTCTCTACCTGCCTTCCTACCTACCTACTTCTCCAGCAATGCCACAAGACAAGTCATTAGTATGGGCGCACTATAAAAAAGTCGGCCAGGGCTTATATAAGCAAGACCAAGTCAAGTGTAACTATTGCAGACGACAGTTTGCAGGGCAGGCGGGAAAAATGGACGCCCATTTGAAAAAGTGTACTGAGTATGCTATCCACCGATCTCATGAGAAGAACGGTAGCTTGCCAGCGGGGCCAATTGAGTCTCATACGCATCGAATCGGCCCTGGAGAACAAGTACGACTAGACAAAAAGCTAGCCTTAGCACTCTTTGCTGGAGGCCTGCCATTCGGAACATTTAACAAATTCAAGAAGCCTCATATATGGGATTTCGCCCATAATCTGAACACTGCATACAAGATCCCTGACCGCCATAAGGTTGCTAGCGAGCTACTTCCAGCCTGCTATGCAGAATGTCAAGCAAAGGTCAAAACACTACTGTCAGATTGCTAATAGATGAACTTTACCTGCGACGAATCAGACGATAAGGCGCGTCGCCGAATAGCCAACCTTTCGGTCAATCTGCCTGCCTATGGGGCTATATTTCTCAGAAATTTCCATACTCAGGATAACAGCCAATCAGCCGAATTCATAAAGACGTTGATTGTACCTGAAATTATCGATGCTTGCAACGGCGATTTAGCAAGAGTTAATAGCCTTGCTACCGATACCTACTCAACTATGAGACGTCTCCATCACCTTATGGCTATAGATCCTCGGTTTTTATATATATTCTTCATCCTATGCGACTCACACGGAATTCAGCTACTAATTAAGAAAATCCTTGAGCTTCCCTACTATACGAATATCCTTAAGAGTGCACAGGCTGTTATTGCAGCCTTCTTATACTCGCGTCTCCAGCTAGGGATCCTTCGCCACTAGTAAGCTTATCAATATGATAGCAAGCAATTAGCACTTATTCTATCTGTGATTACCCGATAGGGAACTTATTACGGTCTATTGCATAGCCTACAACGGTCTAGAGACGCCCTCAGATTATATGCCAGCGATCCACGAGCAAACCTCCGCAATTTCAAAAAACAGTCGCTTACTTACCTCCTCGTTTAATACGACTTCTGGAACTGCATCGAAGACTTAGAAGAGATACTCAGGCCATTACACGAGGCCGAGAAATCGTCCGAATCCGACGGCTCCTATCTGGGCCACGTCACTAAGAGATAGCTGAATATGTAGAGTTCTCTAACGCAATTATATGAGAGTAGAAGACACCCTCATCTCCAGCTAATAGTGTCTCCAACTGGTATCTTCGCAGAGCTTTACCACTAACAGACGACCGATATTCATTAGGTGGCTTATGCGCTTGATCCAGCAAATACGCCAGCAGCACTTACCCCAGCGATTTAGACTAAGGTACACGATTTTATGAGGCGCCACCTTACGGTGAACGATGAGACGTGGGTAGATGTCTTACAGGATTATTTCGCGTTTCAACAGAAGGAAGGAGCTTTTAATAGGATGTCTGGGTCGATCCTATAGGAGCCACGTCTTGTAGAGTCGCCTAAGACCTTCTGGCAATACCTGAGGCCGAGTTCTCCTATCCTTGCTGGCTTTGCGGTACGGATTTTTTCAACGCCTTGCAACTCAGTACCATGCGAACGGGCCTTCTCCGCTATAAACTACATCATTGACAAGTTCAGGGCAAGTACAGGGGTGGAGCGGAGCAATGAGAGTATCTATATATACATGAATCAGAAGGCGTTGGATAGGGTAGCAAAGCAGCGGCAATGGGGGCTCGATAAGCTATCAGATAACGAGCTTATTGAGTGGGAAGAAGAGGTGCTTGCTATAATGGAGGCGAGGATGGAGACGGAGCAAGAGGAGACTGAATAACGAGTGGGCAGCGATAGGGTGGTGCAGCAGCGCTAAAACACCAAGACCCTGAGATATTTGGACCAATAGGAGCTCTGCATTCAGTAGCGTGATTATTTCACATTGAATTAATCGATTATAATCGCCATATAATCGATTATTGAATTAATCGATTTTTTCATTTTTCCACCCCTATGTAGGATCTTAATCCTAGCGGCTGGGATTGCCCCAACCTCGGCGATCAATTTACTTGAAACGGTGCTTAATCTGTACCAGGCACATTTTCGCAATTGGAACTCAGCACTTGAATCCTCTTGTTGCAATCCGTTGCTTGATTGCTTTCTATGCGATTCTAGAAGCCTGTTGCTAGCCGTTCTTTGTCTGTTTTGGGCATATATGGGGCCCTGGGGGCCCCCATTAGCTAGAGATCCTTCCTAGCCTATTGCCACATTGCAACACCTCTCATTTATCAATTTACGTATCCTCCCGGCCAATCATTGTCTTAGGCAACAAGCAATATGGTAGCCTCTTCCCCAAGCTTGAGTCCTGTTTTGATCACAGGCGGCTGCGGTTTCATCGGCTCTCACCTTATTGAGCATCTACACGCAATCGATCCAAGCTGCGAAATACATGTCATAGACAACTATACCTCACGCACTTTTCTCCCATCCGTCAAGTATTACATGTACGACGTGTCCGCCGCTAATGCCGTGGACCTCGTTATGCTAGAGGCAAAACCTCGTACCATCTTCCACATTGCCTGTCCAGACTCCATGGTTGTTGATCCCGAGCTTTTTGAGAGAGTCAACGTGGGCGGCACACGCAACCTACTGGCGTCTGCTACCAAAGTCGGCACAGTGCAAGCGTTTGTGTTCACATCAACATCATCCGTGATCCACGACAATGTTTCCGACCTCATCGATGCTGATGAAACATTACCCATTCTCCGACCTCCCTTCCAAAAGCGTATCTACACTCTCACAAAAGCCACTGCTGAGGAAGAGATCATAGCTGCAAACCGCAAAGACGGCGACCGCTCCATGTTGACCGTATCTCTCCGTCCATGCACAGCGATTGGTGAGCGCGACACCATCTGCTTGGGCAAGATGATCTCACGCGCTGAGGAAGGCAAGATGAAATTCCAAATGGGCAATGGCAAGAACATCTACGACTTCATGTACGTGGGTAACCTTGTCGATGCGCATGTCTTGGCTGCTCGGGCTCTCGTCAAGGCGTACGGTAAACCCCCGCCACCGGCAGAGCAGAGGGTTGATGGCGAGAACATCAACATCACCAATGATGAGCGTGTCTTGTTCTGGGATCTTGCTAGAAATGTTTCTG